ACTAATAGTTCGCATCCTAGTGGGTTATGACGAAAGCAAAGATAAAATAATAAAATAACTTGTTAACAAGACTTGTTAAATGGTAACAAAGACCCCACAACGTAAACATTTGATGCAATAGTTTATAATAGGCACAAAAATTTTGAAGTCTGTTTTTTCTTTTGAGTTTAGTTCAACTTTGTTTTTTATGTTCTTCCACCTTTAAAAAATAATTTATGTCCTATAGAACACATAAAATAAAGCTTTTTTTTTCTCTTAATTTTTTAATGATTTTTTCCCTTTTTTCAAGTGAATAAAAATTAGCAATTAATTAAAGTATGGAATAATATCCATCTAATGAGAAGCTTAATTTATCAATTAATGAAAATAAGCAAGCTTGAGCTAACAGACTAGCATTTTTTTATAATATAATATTAATACTGTACCATAAAAGAAGACAGATTTGAAATGGGACAAGATTCACATAAAGAGACAGATGGTTTTGTTTTTCATTAATTTTAATAATATGAATGTGCCTATAATTGACTTCTAATTTCTTCAATTTTCAGGTCAGCTTTCTGTATGAAATCCCTAATTCTTAAGCATTTTTTCCTGTGGCAACATAATTCTTAGGCTAAATAAGACGAATCTTTCGTTAATTTCGCTAAATGAGGAGTGTCTTTTACGATAAACAAAGATATTCAATACTATTTTGACGATTAATTGCTATACTAAATTGTTTATGATATTCAAGTTACTGATACCTAAAAGAATATAGATTTAGCCGACATATAATTTTGAGCATTTCGTTAATTTGACTTTGAAATGTTTCTACATTTGGACAAAATATTTTCTTATTAAATTACTTCTAGTAAGAAGGCAATTCATCATAGAAAACGCAGAAGAGCTTGAAAACGATTTCTTCATGGATTATTTTCTGTAGATGATGAGCTGTATTATCACTATGGAAAGAAAAAACACAAAACACGCACCATTTCTGTAAATTCCTTCTGTATATGAAAACTAAAGTCGAAAGGAAACTGCACAGAGTGGCTTCCGACAGTGTTCGTATACTTAAATGTTTCAGTGAAATATTGCTTTATTCATTAACAAAAATGAATATTTGAGCATGAGAAGTTTTTCGTAACATCTATAAATTTCTCTTAGCAAAACTACATTGCTTAACTTATGAATATAGGTAAATTGTTTGGGGGGAAATCAAAATCAAAAGGATTAAAAATATAACAAAACGCTACCTCACAAAAGTCTTAGTACACTTTAAAAGGAATCTGCACATAATAGTAAATATTATAGTACTTCTATCAGTCAGTATTTTGTGCGACATCCTTGCAGCATATATGATAGCTTTCAAACATCTGGGCATAGAGTTCACAATTTTTTTTATAATATCTGGCTCGATGTTCTTAGTTCTTCCATTATTTAGTTAGTTTTTTGTTTTAATGTTGTGTCTTCGTACTCTACCTCTAATTCTCTCAAAATGTGTTCTATCTAGTTTAAGTCTTGAGACTGAGGTGGTGTTTTCAGAACCTGTGGACAATTACAGACACACGGACAGACACCTTTGTTGTCCTGATAAAAAATAAGGTTGTTTCCAATAAACGAATTTTGGGCGGATAATTTAAATATATCTTTGAAAATATTTAAATAAAAAAGCATGGTTCTTGATGCCATCAGTAAATATGAAATTACCTAATCCTGACGCTAACTTGCACCTCGCACAAGGACACATCCATCACTATGCTTTGCTGTTCCAACCACGGTCTTGAGATTGAATTCCGCATTTTTATTCTCCGTATAATTATACGCCCATCGGAAAGACGAATGTTAAATTTACTTTCATATACAAATAAGACATGATTCCAATACTCTTCGGGCTTATTTACCACTGATTTTGCAAAAGAAAGCCTAAGCCTTCTACTTTTTTGCCACTTACAAAACACTTTTTTCGAGCTGAGCGCCGATATATATAGCGGTATCCTGAATCGATTTTTCATCCTTATGAAAAAATGATCAATTTTCAAATGCTATTTGTTGTTTTACTTACGACTACGAGCCATTTTAAAATATTAAATAAAATATAACGAATTAAGCAAGCAAAGAATAAATCCAAACGATTTTTTAAATGTTACCAAAGTGCAAAAGTAAAAAAAAAATGGCGAATGATAATTTTATTAGGAAATTTTGCCAAAGTGTTTCGGTGTATGATCACTTTTGTGGCTTGTATAATGTCTGCCTTCTTACATTTTCAATTTCAGAAAATGAAGGTAAGTCAATATTATATAAAGAAAGTTTGGTTTATTCAAATTCACATGGAGATGCTATGAAAAACTATTCTGCTTTATATTTCTATATAGAATGCTATGTAAACATATTGGGCTTATGAATTAATTCCGGGCTACAACGCTTTTTCTACAAATATTTAAAGTGTGCCATCACTTTTGGGAGTCAATGTAAACTGTTCTTTTTCAGTTCTCTAGTGAGGCGTTAATGATATCGTTTGGTCTATAAGAAAATATAACTGGAAAATAACGCATTAAAAATAATATTTAAAACATCATTGACATTACATGCTAAGTGTCGTATTTGCTACATAATTTGTGATATCTTAAAGGTGTGTTCTAAAAATTAATGTAAAGGAAGTGATTAAATTAAAAATGTTTCATAATATATAATCTCAATATCATTGAGGAAACACATGTTATTATAATAAACAACAATAGCCAAAAGTATAATGTTCTCAACAACAATATTTCCTAAGAGCTTTCTTGAATAATTTCTTTCAATAATGGCTAAGAGCACATTGTCAAAAGATCTGATACGCAATAATGCTTGGCATTTTCTTTCCAGTTGCAAACGCAAATGAAAATTTTAAGGCATATTAAATATTTACCACAAAGAATTAGATGCAGGGAGCCATGCATAAAAGGTAATATAAAATTTTCGATGTTAATAATAATTAATGCTTTATTTTTTGTCTGAGCATTTTATTCTTTCTTAGTAAAATGGTTATTTAACATGCTATTGTGCATCGGAAGATAGGCAGTCAGATATGAAATCTTATGTTTAATTTCGGTTAAATGATTATTTAACATGCTATTGTGCATCGGAAGATAGGCAGTCAGATATGAAATCTTATGTTTAATTTCTGCTTCATGTTTCTCCTTCATACTTTTACCTATTACGTTAACTTATGACTAGAAAATACATAAAGGAGCTTATACGAAAGATGTACTGATAATGTATGCATGTAATTTGTAAATTTGCGCATCTTATGCTGCCATTGTCTTGTATACCCAAGAAAGATCTAGTATGAAATTTTTTAAGATCTGCTGTTGAAAATAATTTATATTAATCTATTTAAAAAATAGTTAATGATAATTTTAATTATTATTTGAGTAGAGTTCATTTTCAGTAAAAGAAGTTGGTTCTATGATTTAGGTGTTTTTATGGCACAGTATGTTTATAGTTAGAAACTGTGATTGTCTTCACTGAAGTATACAGGGGTTGGACAAAAATATGGAAACACCTTTAAAAAAACATGTTTCTTTGCTTAATATGGTGTAGGAAACCCGTTGGCATCCAAAACAGCTTGCAGTCTTCTCGGAATGGATAAATACAGTTCCTGTATGTTTGCCAAGGGAATATTATACCATTCTTCCTGCAAAACGGTGGCAAGTTCAGATAACGATGTTGGCGGTGGATAACGAGAACGCACTTTCCGTTCCAATGTAGACCACAAAGGTTCGATAATATTCAGGTCTGGTGACTGTGGTGGCCAGGGGAGATGGGACAACTCATCCTCGTGCTCAGAAAACCAGTCCTGGACAATGTGAGCTATGTGAACAGGGGATTTGTCGTCTTGGAAGACACCATCACCATCGGGGAACAAAGTTTGTACCATGGGATGAACTTGATCGGCCAAAATTTTCGCATAAGTCTTGGCAGTCATGTGCCCTGACACAGTTATCTTGGGGTTAGCAGAGAACCACGATATGGCTGCCCAAACCATAACAGAAACCCGCCATGTTTCACTCTTGGCAACAAGCAGTCTGTATTATAGGCTCGAGATGGCATTCTCCAGACGTAAACTCGGCCAGAAGTGGGAAACAATGTGAAAGAAGACTCGTCAGACCATATTACTCGCTTCCACTGCTCTATAGTCCAGGCTTTATGACTTAAACACCACCTTTTCTTGTTACGGGCATTACCATCACTGATGAGTGGCTTCTCAATTGCAGCACGGCCAGTTTATGTCAATTCCCTGTTTATGAAGCTCCCTTCTAATTGTTTTGGTACTCACAGGGTTCGGTAACACAACATTCATTTCAGCAGTAACTTTTGCAGCTGTGGTCTTATTTTTCGTCACAATTGCCCTTAATGATCGTCTGTCACGATCACTCAGGACACACTTTCGTCCGCGCTGTGATTTAGCAGATAATGTTTTTCCACTTTTCAAATATGCGGAATAAATCTTCGATACAGTACCTCTTGAAACACTAAGCACCTCGGCTACCCTGCTTACGGAAGCACCTACCTTACGTGCTCCAACAATTTGCCCACGTTCGAAGTCTGTTAACTCTGACATAATGCAATGACAACCTCACATAACAGTACTCCGACAAACAACTGAACTGTTTAGCACATTTACGAAGTTGTATAGGTGGCATCAGTAGTCAAAAACGCCAGCGCCACCTACATATTTCATTAAAATCAATCTTTCTTTTCAAACATGCATTTCACAAGGTGTTTCCATATTTTTGTCCATCCACTGTAGTTCGATCGCCTTATCCGCGACCATGAGCGCAAACACGCATGCGCCATTCAGACCGAATTATTCTTAAAATAGGGTGGAAGTATGGCGACTTACTTTCCTCGTAGTTGCTGATGACAGATTCTGTAGTTGATGCGAATGCTTCATGTATAAATTAGAGATATATGTGTTACTTTTGCACTGAAGCAATTTTCGTTACTTTAAACAATTCAAACCTTTCTTCAGATCCGGCTGCTTCATGTCATGAAAATTGCTTTCCTTATGGTGCTGATAATACTTTCGCTCTCATTACCTACGTCTATGTCGTCATACCTGGAAAGAGTTATGCGTGGTACACTTAAGAAGATTATGGCATGCCCAGAAAAAGCAGATTCAGATGACAGCAACCAGTTTGTCGCCGCTTTCTCTCCAGCTAGGTATATGCAGTTGGTGGCAATAGTCCGCAAAGATTCACAAGGTAAGGTTTGTTGCAATTCTAATTATTTGTAAATATCATAATCAGTTAATATATATTTGTTTCTGGGTTAAAATTCCATAATCGGGGTGAGCGCTAAACTTGGCGAGAGTTTTTTGTTTGGCGCGATTTTAATTTGGTTGTGGTTTCCGGCTGTATGTTTTCTTGTGTCAAACCTAGAGCTTTATTTCGGTAACTGTAAGAGCGCGAATTTAGTGTAGCCAGATTTTTTTTTTTTTAAATTTAATTTTGAAATACTGTGTTTGTTTTTAAAAGTTTTACTGTTTAATATTATTGTTATATATATGTTTAATATTATATTTATATAAATATTTGCAGAAGGTTAAGCTGTTGTTGGTGGGAGAATATTGGATTTCATATGACATGAAATTTATAATTTATGAATGTTTTTATTTAATTTTATTTATTTAATTTTTATTTTCAGTTATGTTTCTTGCATGTGGCAATCGAAAGATGTGGAGTATTTAAAGTTTCGAAGTTTGAAACGAAAGTTGTTTAGTGTGTTGAATTCCACGACGATAGTTTTAATCTTGAAATCAATTTCAGTTTACTATTCTGTTTGCACATGAATAATCGCTGAATACGCTGTAAACAAAAATTTGCTATTCTGCTTACGTTTAAAACTGACTTCGCAGTGCTCTGATCTGATAAGTGTATACATTTATTTACTCAATAATTATTTACAAGAATTGTTCATTCTACTATTTTATGATGAATTACATATATATAGGACTATGCTTTTACTTGCAAAGCTGTTGGACTTTGTTTTACTCATTACATTTTATCATCTCATTTTACTATTCTGTTTACACAAAATAACGGCGTTTCACTACTGCAAAACTTAGAAGTTACTATTCTGTTTACGTTTAAAAATCACATTTTAGTGCTTTCATTTAGTGCGCCTAAAAAATTCGCCAAATTTTGAAGGCCAAAATAGTTTGCCGCCAACTTACCCCGCTTATGGAATTTTAGCCGGTTTCTGCTATAAATATTTAGAAAATAAGAGTTTATAAAAATTAGTTATTACATTATTCTGCAAACTAATCATTATATATTGCAGCTGTTCTCAAATAAGTTAAACTGTTTATTAGAAATACAATTTTACTTTTAAGGAAACTACGAGTTTTATTGCTCTCAGTAGTAACCGGCAACACAAATTGAATCTTCTTGATTTGTTTTACTCTCTTTTTTTAGAAAAATAAATAAATAAATGTTTCTTTCAGAATTTGGATGTGGGTTCGATAGTGGAGCTCCGTTTCAGCTTAGTGATTCAAGAACGTGGAGCTTTTGCGACATGGGTGTTTGTGCATCAGAAGTAAGTGTCTCAATTCACATTTTGTACTTCAATTGCAATTTGAAAGTTTGCAATGGTGTTATGAAATTCTCCATTTATTCATATTGAGAATTTTGAAATAGGAAACATTTGTCTAAACTAATGCCGCACACGTAAGCCCGTAACAAATTTGAAATTTAAAAAAAAAAAATTGATTTTGGTCTGGTAGAGACGAAAAGTCTGATAATCGAAAGATTTTTCTATAAAATTAACTCGTCCAAAATTAATTTTTATTTAATTACTTCCTTGTACGAAGTAAAGGAAGTATTGTATTTGCGAAAAATTTCAATCTCATATTTTAACGAATCCGACCGCTCTCGAAAATATTCGAACGATGTTTTGCGTGACGCCTGCACGTACTGGCGGAATAAAGCACTGTTTTTGATAAAACGGATTGCAAAATGGATTTAAACTGGATTCAGAAGAGATTTTTTCTTTATGTCTACACATACATACGTACGCATGTATGTATTTCTCATAACTCAAGAACGAGTAGCTGTAGAAGGTTAAAATGTCGTATATGGGACTGCTATAATATGTAACTGTAAACCTCCCTCTTTCATTGCAATAGGCTGCACGAATAATCACATACAAATTTCTTTATATTTCCGCTCTGTTACTTGGCCCGGGTGGAATTAGTTTTTTTATTCTTATATGTTGATAAATTGGGCATTTTTACTTCCTTGTACGTAAGTAAAGGAAGTAATTCCGAAATATTTAGGATATCACATTCAATGAAAATACCACTTTGACCCCTCTAGATTCCATTTGAACTATGTTTTTCCCATACGTCTGTAAATAAGGACAGAATAGAGGACTCTTTTTCCCAAAACGATATTGTGAAATAGATCTAAAATGAATTCAGAATAGATTTTTTTTTTTGTGACTTCTGCATGTACGTGCGTTTGTTTGTATGTAACGCGACATGACTATCCAAACCAAACTCCAATAATTTCGTACGTGTTGCTAAAGATCTGAGAGGACTCGCATTGTCGCAGTGGAACACGATTCGTTTACAATTTGCCAGTTATGACCTTTGATTTCTTCCTCCAGTTTCATAAGAGTTTGGCAGTAAACATCTGAATTGATCATTTGGTTGCTTAGAAGCAGCTCAAAATATACAACCCTTTTGTAAAACTTGACATCATGATCTTTTTTTTAATGCAATTTAGCTTTCGATATGAATTGTATTGATTCATCATCGTTGGACCATGATTGTTTTCCGATAAATGTTTTTGTTAATGATCCATTTCTCATCACCAGTGATAATTCGTTTCAATAAAGAGTCGAATTGCATTACGTTTGAAATGCGTATCGTAAAATGCGTATCGTAAATATTAAAATGCGTATTGTAAAATGCGTTTGAAATGCGTATCGTAAATATTAATTACACGGAATTTGTTGGTTAAGCGAATTTATTTTAATTCATGCGAAAACGAAACATCGAGACCAAGATATCTTACGTGATTTTCAATAGGTCTTCATCGAGACCAAGATATCTTACGTGATTTTCAATAGGTGTATATGATACGTTTAACCATTTTGGCAGTCTCTTGCACAGTTACATAGCGATCCGACTCAATTATGGCTTTAATTTTGTCATCATCATCTTCAGAAGATCGTCCAGAACGTTAGTCATCTTCAAATGAAGAAGCTCAAGAAAGAAATGTTTTAAAACAATTCTGACACGTGCGTTCTGTTAAATAATTAATGTCGTAAACTTCATATGTTTTTTGTGAGGTTTAGTCGCTTTCTTACCTTTATGAAATTAGAAAAGTTAAGTATTTCGAAAATGTTTATTTTTGCATCCCATGCTAAATTTGACCGTAAATTAACAATCATAAATAAATATACACGGAATTTGTTTCTATAGCAACCTAAAAGTGTCAACTACCAAATCTTTAAAAAAAAAGAAAAAAACATATAAACCTAATAAAAGAATAACAAAACGAACATAACGCCATCTATTTGTGTAAACCCAAATTACTTTCTTACCAGCTCAACAGAATAACACGAATATTGCTTTTTTAATGACTAAAGTTTTTGATACTTATTATTATTATATTGTAACCGATCCTTTGATGTAAAAACTCTGCTGTTAATTTAAACTACGGTAGCAACGAGGGTGTGCTCTGGTGAGTAGTCAGAGAAACACTTCAGTAAAGGTCAGGTGATGAATCTGTTAGGTTGTATTAGACTCCTTTGTATAATTCTTAAAATTATGTGTTATCTCCGTGTGTATCTTAACCGTTGTGATAAATCATTGTTACACTGTAACGAACTCTTTTATCACCTCATCCAATACGAGCCCCCATAATATTATTATTACTAATATTTATAATATTATCTATTAATTATCTTTACAGCTTCCTGTATTTGATTATTTATCAACATTCCTTCTGTAATATTATCACGAAATATTAATTAATTGGTTTAATTTCAAGTAAGCTGTCTCATTTTTAGGACTGCAAATGCTTCAAAGATTTTGCTGGGCCCAAATGTAATAAATTCGTTGGGCGCTGCTGGCTTTTCTACTGTAAACGAATTGGTTGTACGTTCTTGCTGCCAAGTTTGTTTTGCAGTTGCGATCCTTCGTTATATGGCACTCCAGTTACGAGTAAGTTATCTTGCTTATATATCAGCTGGGAAATATAATTGCTCTAACAATTATAAAAGTGTTCAGTAACACATTATGAAAAGCATCCATACAGCCATAGGGTCGATGTGAGGTAAAAAATTAAAAACAGTTAAGCGAACAATAGAAAAAGGCAGATAGTAAATGTCCTAATCAAAGTCGGAGCTGATAAGAGAAGGCTTATTATGCACAACTACAATATAATCAGCAAATTTCATATTTCAATCTGTAGGCTTAATGCATTCTTGCTATAAGTTCTGCAATCGTGTCATAGCTTGGTGATTATGAAGATTAAAGTAGCAATCATATATCACTAAAAGTAATACTCGAAATTTCCAGAGAAATTTCTAAAATTATTAGAAAGTACAAATGTTAACCATTAGCATTAGTACTTTCTAGTAAAAAATTTTACGAATGTTAACCATTTTTTAAGGATTTTAGTTTGAATTTAAAATTATTCTAAAAATGCACTAATCATAAGTGACATTATAGATATTAGAAGCAATCGTTGAACACCTTTACCACAATTGCTAACTGCATGCTACGTTTTTCTTTAGCATCGTAAACATTTCATTCATCCAGTTATAAGGTATCTTTCCCGCTTTCCTAACGTGCCTTCGTGGTGTAGTGGTTCTGCATGCTAGGCCGGTATTCCAGAGGTCCGTGGTTCTATTCCCGGCGAAAGCGTTGCTAATTTTTTATCTCTCCGGCCTCCAAAAAAATCGTAATGTCACTACAGTGGCGCCCGAACTAAAAGGGTTGTGGATGATGACTCTCCACAGCCAGGATTTGGCGATTGGGTCCCCTAAAAAGAACACAGCCGCCCTTTAAAAGGGGCAGTATATAAGGTATCTTTCCCGCTTTCCTAGCGTGCCTTCGTGGTGTAATGGTTCTATACGCTGGGCCGGTATTCCAGAGGTCCGTGGTTCGATTCCCGGCGAAGGCGTTGCTAATTGTTCACCTTGCCTGCTTTCCAAAAAATACTTAATGTCTCTACACAGTGACTAAATGAATAGTAAGTAAAGCGAAATGCATAAAAAGCTATTTCTTGTATTTATTGAGAATTATTTTCACTGCATTGTCAGACAGTTTATGTGCATCTTTAAGGCTTTTCTCAGGGCGGTAACTCAAGCATTTATTACGGAATGCTGTTTGAGTTTATTACAATCTGTTACACGTGCTTTCTTATATTATATTTATCTACTCTAGAAAAATAACATTGGTCTTAAATAGAAAGGAAACTATAGTGCGTATAAAAGGCATGCACCTGAAATAACCTGAAACCAGATTTTTAAGGATTTTAGTTTGAATTTAAAATTATTCTAAAAATGCACTAATTATAAGTGACATTATAGATATTACAAATAAATTGAATATTTCGAATAGGATGATGAATTTCTCAATACGTATTATATCAATTATCTTTATCAAACCAATTTAAAATTTAGCCAATTAGAATATCAGTTTTATTCCTCAATAAATTGACTGTAAAATAAAACTCAAGATTAGAAAATGGAAACCTTTACGACTGGATAATTTATAGCTTTCTCATCAGCTACAAATACTGGATAATTTATAGCTATTATACTGGATAATATTAATATTATAATAATAAACTGGGATAATTTATAGCTTTCTCATCAGCCAAACTCTGGAAAGAACTTTATTACAGAAATAAAGAAGAAATATTCCTCAGCGTGAGACAATCATTTCAAATTTTTGCAAACAGTTAAACTTATTAAAAACTATACTACCTTCGCCTATTATCACATATATTCGCTCAGACCAAATTATTATTCAAATTAAAATACTTGCAAGAATTATTAAGGGCTACTAAAAGATAAACTGCAATTTGGGCTTGTTGAGCAAAAAAACCGTCTAGTTGTATGTAAGCTCTAGAACTGATGTATTTGGAAAATATTTAGTGTTTGGTATAGGCTACGTCGAATCCCATTGTCACTCTAAACTGTTTAATACACCTTTATAGAATGACTAGCTTGAGATAGAAAAGGTGTCTTGTTTTAAAGGATTTGATTTCAGTATTTGTACATTCATTGCAGATCGCTTAATTATTACCAGCTATTGTTGATAAGTGATCGACCGTTTAGTTTTAAACTTGGAAAAGTCAAACAAAGTTAGGAATTTTAAATCTGTTCCATTATAAATTCATTGTCATCGATTTTTAGAGAGGAATTCTTAAAAAAAAAAGAACTTTGTTTGAACATATCTTTTAAAAACAGTTTAAATATGTATAAAACCAACAATTCATTCAATTTTATCGATAATCCAACTTTCTTTTAAGCTCCGTTTTATAAGCCATTACTTTAGTTTTAAATCACTTGTAAAAGTCAAACAAGATTGTAAATTCTAAATCTGTACCGGTGTAAATTGATTCTAGTCAAGACGATTAATTCGCCGATTTTTTTAAAAGCAATTTTTAAGAACCCTTGGTTGGAACTTCGGAATGTTTAGTTATAGTTACAAACTGAGCAATTTGGTTCTCTTTTGTCGAAAGTTCTCCTTTCTTTAAGCTTAGTCAGACATCACTTTAATTTTAAAATCACTTGGAAAAGTAAAAAAATGTGAATTTTAAATTTGTTTCTGTGTAAATAGAATGTAGATAGAAACGGTAATTTGTCAGTTTTTACAGAGCCACTTTTAAGAACGTTTGGGTGAACATACCCTTTAAAAATATTTGAAATACAGTTACAAAGGGAACAAACCTGCTTCTCTTTCGTTCATAATCCATTTTTTAGCTTAGTTTTATAAGCCATCACTTTACTTTTAAACCACTTTGAAAGAATTTTAAATCTTTTCCCTTGTAAACTATAGTTCACAAGTGAACAGTCTAGTTTTCTTTTGTCGGTAATCCTACTTTCTTTAAGCTGCTTTCTTCTCAGACATATGATGCTTTAAGCATAACAATTTAAAGACACCTATTCGAAAGCTCACAGCGTATATTAAGTTTTAAAAGTTCAGTTGTTCAAAGCGAATATTTTGATTCCCCACTTCTCTTTCATGTAATCTTGAAACATGTAAAAAACAAAGTTTAGCCATACAAAAATAAACATATGTCTTCCTGTGAGTTGCCTCTTTAAAGAGCTCATAAGTGAGGTGAACAACTGCTTCTAAACATTATCATCACAGCAGCATAAATTACGTTAAATAGAATTACTGATAAACTTCAGTAAATAATAAATTTACAGGTAAAAAATAATACGTTTTCAAATAGGGCTACAACTGAACAAAAAGCAATTACTTTTGTTATTAGCTTAATATCTTGACGTCTAAATAATATTAATATATATATATAAATAATATTGTTGCGTGCGTACGGGTTCGTTATGAAATGAATGCACAAGTCCGATGAAAAAAATGAACAAAAATTTATTATTATCACAACAAAAAAAATGCTTAAATTTTCTCAAATTATCACGCAGTATTACAATATCTCACAGTAGTTTTCTTTTAACTACTCAAATGTCCAATAGAACGTAATTCAAAACAGCTAAAGAACGCTAATCCGCGAATTCGCTACAATCAACAACAGTAGTTTTCTAAACAACAACAAACTAAGCAACTACTACAAACTGAGATGTTTTCCTCCTTTTATAAGATTTTAAAATCACGCGCTAGAATTTTCCAGTACTTTTTCGAAATCAAAAAGAGATATTTATTTATTTAATGCACGCGCTCTTGTATTTTCAATTTTCCGGCTTAGCTTTCTTTTAATATTCGTCACGCGCTGCACTGCGCGAGAAATAAAACCATTTAATTTGTAATTGAACTAACATTACCTTTTTAAATACCAAATTCGTAACAATATTAATATATATACTAAATAGCTTAATATCTTGACGTGCTCGCTGTTTAAAAAATATTGTAATTATTCTCATAAATGCTTTCATCAACAGGTAAAATTTATTTCTATGATCATGGAATAGAACATAATTATAGGCCTCCGCCTTATGGTTTTATCACCACTTCTTACATACAGAGTCATATGATAAGAGAAACAGCAACTGGAAGTAAGTACATATATGTTTTTATGCACAAATAAGTAAAAGGGACATTATATTTCAGTTTGCTTTTATCCGTTAATCTAGTTTTTGTCTTGAAAATGAATGATGCTTTTAACTACATGAACATTAAAAAACATGCCGTTAAAGGATAATTTCAGTGCTTTGTGAGGAAACTTCTGTATTCTAAACTAATAAACTGTAAACTAAATTAGAGCTAAATAATTTGCGATTTTTATGACATACACGCACGGTTTATTCATATATACAGCTTCTTAATTTGATTCCCAATTATCTCAAGAAAAACAATTAGGTTATACTCACAGAAAAATAATACGACAGTTCTATACCTCTTGTTCTACTGGGCCGATTGACGAAGTTTACTTGCATTTTTCATATCTTGAAAACGAGATTTATATTAGATTATAAGGACGTATATTAGATTTATATATTACATTGTTCTAACATAGGAATTTTGACACAAAATGGGACTTTTTCTAAACTAACATGCCAAATGTTTTCCATGCTTCAATTGCACTACTCATTATGCTAAAAGTGTCAAGTTTTGTAAAAATCGTACATGTAGGTTTTAAAAAATTAGCTCTCAAAATGTTACTTCTTCAATGTTAATTGAATTTGGTATATATTTGTTAATATCTCTGTTTTATTAAACTTACTTGATTACGTTTTTCACAGTTCAAAATTTAGGTTCAATCTAAATATAATCTGCAGATATTTTCTGATTTATTTTTAAAATTTGTATTTTTAGTAATATATTTTTTTTCGAAAAAGAATTTCGAGTTATAACCCATACAAATTTTGCCATGTTCTTAAAGTAGATGTATTTCTAGGCATACCTTCACAAATCTAGAGTTTTTTATTCGAAATGTCCCAAGTTATACGTTGATTTATATATTAAAGGGTTTTGAAATTTGACATGTTTGCTATAAGCGATAATAACGCCAAATGTAGCTAAATGCCACTTTATTAAATTCCAAAATGGAACTTTATTAAAATTAGTTGAAAAATTGAAAGATGCACCTTTTTTTTCACTCGTGCACAATGAAAGGGAAAGGAAAAAAGTTACCATAAATTGACAATTTCCGCCAAGCGATTTATTCTTGGTGCAAACTGAACAAAAATGAGGCAAGATAATTTTTTAATTTCTCGGTAAGTTTCTTGACAGATATTACAAAATTTAATATCTAGGCGCAATCTGAGTCCCAGAATCTAATTAGGAAAAAACTGGTGTTTCATTTCAGAAGAAATCCGATTTCTGTGTCAAATTACATATGCTGGAACAAAGCTGTATATAAATATAATGTGTATCCTACGCGGCGCTTTCTAGACATAAAAACACAAATTAAATTTCGTCAACCAGCTCGGTAAAACGGAAGTTATAGAATGGTCTAATTTTTTTAGTCCGAAGGGGCAGTTTGCCCAGAAGGGCAGTTCGCTTTGGTATTGTGCGTCGTCCACTATAAAACAGTGCTTCACTTTTCCAATTGTTGCCACCAAATATTAGAGCTATGCATTATATTTTAAAGAAATTAAATAATGGAAGAAACTGCAGGAATGTATGTATCTTTCTCGCATTCTGAAAAGACAACGGTACTTTCAGAAATCAAATTTTGAATAACGTAGTCCCCCAATCGAATATAGGCATCTAAAAGCCCGAATCTGGAATTAGTTTTCTTATCTATTTCAGCTGTTCTCAATCGGTGGTAAGCAAGAGATAAATAGATGGTACGCAAAGAAGGAAAGTATTTTTAACTATTATATTCAAAAATTACACCCCAACATCCCGATTAAGCGTTTTCTCTGACACTCGTAAATTTATGCAATCTGAGCTTTGTTCAAGAGTGGTGGTGGTACAAAAGGTTTTCAGTTTTTGTTTAGATGGCACGCGTTAGTCAAAAGGTTGAGAACCGATGATCTATTTCATATTTTGTAAAACTTTAACGAAACTTTAATTAACATATTCAACGATTTCAAAGCGAGCAATGGCAACACTGTACGGGAAAAAAAAAAATATCACCAACGCGCTAGACTGTGTATTGAAAAGTCTAAAGATTTTCTCTTTTTAAATATTTGTATTATTGCTGTTGAATTGAATTTTATGGTTTAAGTTAAGGCGAAGAACAGGATATTTAATAAATAAAGGTAACACAGAAAACGTTAACAAAACCTCCCTTTTGGGCGTAATTTGAAAGCTTTCAGATTTTTTTTTTAAGTGCAGAATCCACATTAAATTCTATTACAATATTTCAGACCATAATAGCAGGTTTTTATATTCTCTAATAATAAAAATAATAAAAATATTTGGCAACTTTTTGATAACGGGAAAGGATGTGCATTTTTTAAATTTTAGTGCCACTTTAACCCTTTGCGGCACAGTGTGTCCGGTTTGGACACACCTAAAAATTTCCTTCTTGTACGCACAGGAAAAATTGAATGAAAAAGAATTTATAGGTTACTCTGAACATTCTTTATTTATAGTAGATGGCAGCTCAACACAAAACAGTCCATATATTTTAGCGATGTTTAGTTTTTTAAGACCCTCATTTTTCAAAGAAATCTTCCAGATTTTTTTAGGGTATAAAAGGAATTGTTTGAAAAGAAATTTTTTGTTATTTTTTTGGCTGTATGCTAATCTTCTTATTGTATATTAGTTTTAAATTTTTACCTTGAAATCTTGCCTAAAATCAAACGGCGAATCCTAGGTGTGCCCAGACCGGGCTCACCGATCATCTAGGACAACTGAGAGTCTGTATTCTTTGTTTCTTCGTATCTCATCGGTCAGTTCATTGACAACAATGGTCGTTTCAACACTCTTTTCGAAGCTCTATTCAATCAGTGTGCCACTTTGGACACACCCACAGAATTAAAACGATAAATGCTATCTTCACTAAATTTTACTTGTGTATTCCTCTAGGCCTAATTAGACAGCCTACCTTTTTTTTTTTTTTTTTTTTTTTTTTAAGTCAAAACTCCAACTTTAAAAGGTAGCGTACCGGAAAGGGTTAAATCGAAGAGTCATGAACTACAACGTTGAATACATTCCTCATACTCTTGAAAGTAACGTTTCCTGGTTCTTACATGTTCTTCATTAAGTATAGAAAAACTCGCATTTCGAAGTTTTGTTGAAATATCGTCTCAGAATTCATGAAATAAGACAAATATTTATTTAATAAAATTAGAAGTTTATATAATATATTTTGTGTCATTTTTACTTGTACGAAGTAAAAGAAGTACTGTAGAGTCCCGCAAACTCGATCCCCGATATCTCGAAATTCCGTACAACTCGACAACCTTTTTATGAACTTTTTTAAGGTATCTCTAGGCCAAACAGAGAAAATATTACGGACAGTACATATAATTATTATTTATGCGTATGTCTTGCCTGTTCTGTTGAAAGATTTGAGTGTTCCTTTTCTGAAATTTTTGCCGTTTTCACATTTGTCATTAATTCTAACAAACTTCAAGATATGTTGTAACACTTGGCGAGGCTGTTTGCTTCTTTCGAGGATACGAAGAAACTCAGGTAACAGCTGGTCGCTAACTCGCATTTCTTTTTATATTGTTGCGAAACGCTAGAAGACTTGTCTGAAGTTTTGTGACTGCATCCTATTGCAAAATAAACTCACACCAGTTAAATGAGGATATCGTTACTCAGTTTTCATTTAAGCGTATAAGTGTTACCATATTTTTGAGAACTTTTGATATTCTGGGAAGTGAAAATGTCGTTCGAAAACAAACTAATGTGACAATGGAAATGAAACTAGATGCCTTCAAGAGACTAGACAAAGGGGAAAGTGTAAGCAAAATTACCACGGATTTACCATGGTGTTGGACGGACTACTTTGATAGGGTGAAAAAAGAAAAGATCCGTGCTCGAGTCTTGGTGTGTGAAAAGAGCATATGTGAAAGAGCATTTAAAGGAAAGAAAAAGTATGAAAGGTGGTGAATACGATAAAGTGAGCAAGACGCTTTATTTGTGGTTCAGGCAGCAAAGTGAATAGGAAAAACCCATTTCAGGACTATTTTTACAAGAGAAAACCCTAAACTTTTACGATGAATTTCAAGAAGGAGAGCCTGGATTTGCTGCAAGTGCTTGCTGGCTCGACACCCAGATGGACAAAGTATCAGGCTGTTAAACTTTGTGTGATAACGCTTTATTCGTTCATTTGAAGATGCGAAAAACTTTTCCTTTTTCTTCTTACTTAGCAAACATACTTGTAGTGATTATTTGATTAAAGTTCTACAAACGCAAAAATAAAATTATTTGCCTTCTTTGAAAACTAACTGGAAATAAAAGGAATATACTTATATAAATTATAACGTTTAACCAACACATAATGATATTTAATAAATTGCACACCTTTGAGCACGTTTCTAATAGATTCTTATAAAATTCGATTGTCGGAAAATGTGAAAAGGCATATGTCCTTGGTTGGATTTGAACTAGAGGTTTTCCAATTTCCGACTAAGTTTTTCAACCACTTATACCACAAGAGCCCACACGGTGGTCTGCTACAATTTGACACATTCTCCTCTCTTTAAAATATCATTGGGGATGAGACACTGAACCTAAGCAACCAGATCCAGGTGGTGATAGGTTATTGCACGTTCATGATCTTTTAGCTCAGTAAACATGGTAAAACCATTGTCTTTCAAGATGGGAAATTTGAAAAATTCAATTAAAAAAATCCAAGATTCAAACCATGGATCCCCTAATTCCAGCAGAATATGATAACTACTTAAGCAACAACAACACGCATGAGAAAATGCGATAATAGTCTTTCTGTTGTTGTGACTTATTTCACTTGTCTGACAGTAACATGGAGGTACTTCCTACCTCCATGGACAGTAACATCAGAACAATCATACGAAGTTCATCGTGGCAAGAGAGGGCAAGATAGCGCTTGTCGTTGGCAAGAGCATTGAGCACCATGTTCAGATGAGAGTACGACTTTGCTCACTTCCGCCCCTTCCCATTTTGGTGGAGAGCGCCCTGGGACACGGGTCCAAAGTTCTCCCACTCCTCTTTCCCTACCACCAATCTCTCGAGAGAATGTTTGGCTAATTATTGGAGAATTTCGGTATATTTAGAGTGCCCCCATGCCGCCCAGACACTGTACATTTACAAACATACATGCCTTCAAACCCGGATCTTTCGGTAAGGCAGTCAGCGTCAGAGTCTTTCTTTTCTTCTTTTTGTAAAATGATGATTATTGTTGTTAAGTCCACTTTCTTAAATTTGTTTAAAATGATTTAAAATTTGAAGCAATGTAAATTCAAATCAGTTGAATATTTCTTGCATTATTCTTTTATTTTTATAGCATACGAAATCATTAGTGGGAATTATATGAAGAAACCGATCCTGAGTTATGAAAGAATACCAATGGTTAATGACGATTATGACATCCTAAAAGATGCAAGTGATTTCAGTCTGAACAGGAAAAGCCAACAAGACATTTATAAGTATCGTCAAATGGATTACGATGACAAGAAAGGGATAGAAAATAACAACAGACCTCAACTCCTAAACGAAGCAATAGAGAGTAGAATGTGGAGTCAAAATGAAGATTTTGCTAATGAATTTGATGATGACAGTCCTGTCGTTAAAAACATTGAAAATATTCCTTCCAGACGTAGAGGTTCGGATAATAATTTTGACGATGAAAGTTCAGATATTGAAAACAATCTTTATAAAAGTAGAACATTGGATGATAATTATGCCGATGAAAATATTGGTATCGAAAATGGCCCTTATAATGTAAAACAATTACACGCAGAAACTGGCCAAGACGATCAAGACGAAATTAGAAGTTTATACCACAGAAATGATCGTGCTGCACTTCCTGATACTCTTCCAAACAACGGTAATGTAATTTTTTTTCCATTCTGAGGTTAATTTAAATGTTTAATAAGCTTTGAAATTTTTTTGTAGTTGAAATTTCAGATTTTTTTCCTTCTCTGAGTAATTGTGCTGTAACAGCCTCTAGAAATAAATAAATGAATAATTCATTTTTATTTACAAACCTATTAGAATTCTATGTAGCTCACACATATATTTCCCTATCATATTACTGATGAAAGTTGAGTTTCTCGCTGAGAGAATGTTTCAAAAATCCTAAATTCAGACTCCCTCTAACTAGCGACTTTCTAACATAATTTTCTAACATAAATTTCACGCATATTAATTGTATTTAAACTGTAACATTTTACTTAAATCAATCGAGCTTAAAACGCCAAGTTAAACAATAAAACAAAAGGTTTTTGAAATGTAAATGCGCCAAAAATGAACTTGAAATAATCAAATGTCTGGTATAATAATGGGGAAGGGGGAAAGCTAGGAAGTTTGATTTTGCGGAAACTGAAAACGAGGATTTAAGGAGGTATTTTGCTGCTATCAGGAACTTTACCTTTTTTTTTAAATAAATATTAAATCATTACAAAATGAGGCTATTCTTTGGAATATGGTAACAAGTAGTTTGGCGACATTTTGGTAAGGCGATAAAGGTTACTAGCTAGGACTTTAGCAGTGTACATGGATAAAGTCAAGAATGTGCGCAATGCCATTTTTGTGCAATTCTGGGATGTTTTTTTAAGTGAAAATAGGTCGACGTGTACATGGATACCGTGTATGCGCAATTCTTAAAGACGCGGCAAGCATCTTGCGATTCTGCACTTTCCAATTTCGCACCTAATCTTCGTCATAATTAAGCATTTTGTTCCATAAAAGTTCTAGCATAAGCGTAATTCGGCTAGCAGATTGTTGAAAAAAAAAAAAAAAAAAAGGCCTTTACTTCGTGAAAACAAAATGGCGTCCAATCAAAAACTAGCAGGTTGCTGTAGCAGGGTTGGTCGCCAAATTTTCTCCAAAAAATGCCAAGTTACCATAATCCAAAGATCAACCCAAAATGATTTCTGAGATGATTTTCAAATTTCTTACGTATTCTGGCGACATTGTAAATTTTGAAACTAATTTGTCTTGAGTTCTAAGGGTTTGCCTTAACAATCACAACTTGAATTAAATGTTTTAAATCAGAGTTATTTAAACGCGAAAATATATTACACTAAAATCTCTGCAACTGAGAAATTAGCATAATAGTATCTCAAAATTCGGTTCGCTTTTTTTCAGTGTGATATAAAGCAGGCAATGTGACTAAAGGTGAAATGTGTTTTTGGAGAATTTTATAAAGAAAATTGGCTTGTATTCACGTTATACATAGGAAAAACCATGAAAATCAACCATGCAATCAGCTCTATGGTCTGGTTTCAAACCCAGTTCTTACTACTAATATTCAGAGGTTTTAATTACTCATCCGTTATTTGAAACATTTCGACGAAGGCTATTCCTCTTTAAAAAAGTTTTTAGCCGGAATGATAGGTCATGTTTAAAAGAACTTAACATATGTAAATAGACATTCCATATGTAATTTTTAATTAAAACTAAATTCCTAGTGAAATTGACGGATGAAGAGAACATCTTAGAGCTTTAAATTAGATGCTTAATGTGAAAGTTATGACATTTTCAAAGTATGTAAGCGTTCTCATCAGTTTTGAAATTGATATTAAGTTCATTTCAGTTTGAAACTTTTTATTTTATGGTCTATGTGTTTGAAAAATACATAATACCCAAATAAAATCCAAAATAAGTATCCAAAAGTAAAAAATTCCTTTTCATTATATTATGATACGTAAGGATCCTAATTTTTAAATATTTTTGTATTGTACGCTTAAAATTTGGAGCTGAGATAATTAATTCACTTTTGTTTCCTTTTTTCGCATTTTTCCTAATTTTTTTTAAAGGAACAAAACCTTTGCACTCATTTTTTGTCAGTGCAGATTTGCTGATTTCTGCTCCAAATTTGGCGACAAAAGGCGAATTTGCTTCAGTTTTAGAGATTAATAATATTGAGTGTTATGAAAGTCAGCAAAGAATAAACTATCAAGAGCAGATATTTGTGCAATTTGAGACTCGGAGTAAACATCCTATTTTTAAAAAACCTTCATAAATCTATGAGAGCCTTGAGAAGGGGCCAATACACTTTTATTCACTCAAAGAAATAATAACAGATGGCCCCTTCTGGGGATTACAGGAAAGCCTCCACGTGGGTTTTTAAATCAGGATAAGAAAATAAGAAACTAATGTAATACTAAAATAAATAGACTTTATTCGAAACTAATACCTAACGACACAAATACCTAACACAGTTGGCCCTGAAATTAACCTAGCCGGCGGTTATCAACAGACGCGCCCAATACAGTCGATCGTAGTAGATTTAAGAACGAAGTAGTCAGAAGGCAAATACAGAGGCTGTTTGCACATTTTTTAAGACGATTTTGGTAAGCGGTAATGAAACATCGTTTTCTGCAAAAGACGTAATTGCGATTGTACTATGTTTTTAAAAGTCAAAATTATCGTCTGTGGCTTGAAAGTTTTGTTTTTATTCAAAATGGCGAATTTAACAAAGCAGTGGTTCGAAGGCTACATTTTCGCTCTTTCCGAAGAGAAATATGCATACTCCGTTATCCACAAACGACGTGAGAGTCATGGTTTTGTGATATCTAAAGCGTCGATAGGTAATATCATCAACAAGAAAGGAAGCAAACGTCAAATCGGAGCCTCAAGTGGGACAAAAATTCCAAAAATATATCCAAGGAAAAACGGACATCTTCGACTATTGCAAAGGTACGTTGTCTAATGTTGAAAGAAAATCCCCTTAGTCAAAGAACAGTTGCAAAATCATTAAAATGATCAGTGCCCACTGTAAACAAAATCGTAAACGATTTAAATCTTAAGAAAGCGAAAAAACGCAATGTGCATCGTCTTCTTCCGAAGCATATTACTCAACGCAGGACACGCTGCAGAATTCTATATGAGAAACACTTATCCAAAGAAAAATGGAAAACAATTGTCACAATAGATGAAGCATGGGCGTATTTAAATGATTGTAACAAAAATGAGCCATTTATTATCATAAAAGGGGAGGAAAAAATTTAAGTACATGGGTCAAAGAATCGAAAGAAAGTTTTTCTACGGGATTCATGATTGTTGCTGGTTTTTCTTATAATGGCAAGTTAAAAATAAAGAGAGTGCAAAAAAATGTCAAAATCAACTCCAAATACTATCAGGAACACACTTTCGCCAATTTGTCTGAATGAAATACCATCGCTTTACCCACAGTTCCATCGATCTGTGAGACTCCATCAGGACAAAGCTAGCAGTCACACATCAAAATCCACTGTAAATTTCATAAAAAAAGTGGAACAAAAAGCTGGTATTAAGTACATACCCTTCACTGATACCGCTACTAAATCTCCCGATGTGTCATCTATTGTTTTTTGTGCTTTCGGACTTTTAAAAACTGCATTATCCAAGCGTTGTCCTAAAACAGGACTCTGGAAAGCTGTTCGGGAGGAATGGGATAGAATACCTCTTCTGCCACTTCAAAAGGCATTATTACCCTGGAAATTGCGGTGTCGAAAGATAGTTCAGAATAAGGGATGTCAAATAGAACATTTAAAACAAGAATTTTATGTAATTTAGTTTTGTGAATACAATATGCATCCTCTAAAAAATGTGTGAACAGCCTCTGTATGAGCCACTAAGTACTCCTAAGCACTTCCTTAAATACTCCTTCTAACGCGTTTGCATAAAACGTAATATTAAAACCCCATTCGGGTGCGGAATAGCAGATGGGAAACGAGAATAGACAGTAAAGCATGTTTAAACTTAAAATAACTGTTAGAAAGTTAAATTAACCTCTACAAGACAGTAACTGACATTTTGCGGAATTGTGACAAATTAGACAGTAAATTCATACTGTCTTTGATACTGAAAAATACTGTTTTGAGTTACTTCTACAGCCTAAAAGTTACTGAACAGTAGCCTTTCTTTGTCTTACAAAATGAGTTAAGTATTCTCAGCTGAAATCTGCATTAAAAACTGAATTGCTTACATTCACGCTATCACGAAACAGCTGTAAATTTACTTTCTAAACATTTGTTTTGCAGCTTTCCTAAAACCTAGGGCTAAATATTGGAATGATGAAGACGAGACTGGTGACATGCATCCCGAAATCTTTGTTCCAGAATTCCCTATATCAAATAGAGAACCTTTTGCTCTAGACAGAGAACCTGCTGATACAAACAGCAAAATTAACAATCCGAGATTACAAAATGAATACACCAAGTACTGGGATAAAAAAATAGTAAATAACGAAGAGTACTACAGTCTTGGAGATGAGATGTACCCAAAAGAAATAAAAGAATCATTTAGGGATAGAGTAAGAGTACAGAGACCTTTTAGGAACATGCTTGAAGAACGAGACCTGTCTGATCAGAACTATGATCCATCTCGTATGTTACAATACAGAAAACGAAAACAGCCATTCACGAAGTTTAATCAAAACCCTCGCAGTATTAATACTTTAAAAATGTATGATGATTTAGACAACGTTCAGTTCGATCCACAGATGAAAGCGGACGGAAGTATTTTGTCAGACTCTAAGCAAGAAACCGGTAAATTACCTCTTTATCCGAATAAATTATTTTATAAAGAATTATTTTATAAAGAACGAACATTTATGATAAATAAGTGTTTTAAAATTTAAAACCTATTTCCATTGTAACAGCAAACTGTGTTTCTGTGTTATTTTAAAAATTTATTTAGTTTAGGAAAGTAGAAGAGAGTTGGAACCTAAAGCTTTTTCAGCTTGAATTAAAATTATTTATTTTTTTGAAACCAAATATACTTCCATATTATTTTTATTAATAATCCAACACCATCTGATTTTAACAGATTTTGATGCCAATAAATTGGAAATTCAGATTAGTGGTTAATTTGAATACAGGGTGTCCGCCGAAAACATCGCGGAGAAAACAACGCAAGGCGAAAACGTCGTGGTACAAAACATCGTGGCAGAAAATAAAGCAAAGAGAAAACATCCCAGTTCTAAACCATCGTGGTACAAAATATCGTCGTCGAAAATAAAACGGTTCAAAAACTTCGCAGTTTAACAACATCGTCGTCGACAATATCGTGGTAAAAAACAAAGTACTTACAAATCATCGCATGACGATAACATCGCAGAAATGCGTTTTTCAGGCTTTAATAATTGTAAATGGATATTCGCATAATGATTTGTGAGCACAAGATGGAAAGAAGGATAATTTTACTTTCATATTTTTTATTAACTAATAAACATTTGCTGAAAACGTAAAATGGTAACTTGAGTCCCATTAACTAACTCAATGGGATTTTAAACTGACATAGTTAACTAACAAAAGTCATTAATAAATCATTTTTTAATAAAGTTTTACTGGTAATTTTTCAAGAAAAGTATAATCTAAAAAAGAATAGAAAAAGAAACATAAGTAACTGCATGACCTTATTTATAAAAAAAATGCTAATTATAAGATTATTTTATTCTCTTTTGTTAATCTGATACTCTTATAATGAAAACTATTTCTCGCTTTGTTTAAATTTCTTGTTCTGTATTTTTTTTTAATTTATTAGTTAATAAAAAATATGAAAGTGAAAATTATTCTCCTTTCTATTTTCGCTCACAAATCATTATGCGAATATCCATTTACAATTATTAGAGCCTGAAAAAGCATGTCTGCGATGTTATCGTCATGCGATGATTTGTAAGTACTTTATTTTTTACCGCGATATTTTCGACGACGATGTTTTTAAACTGCGCAGTTTTTGAACCGCTTCATTTTAAACTACGATATTTTGTACCGTGATGTTTTAGAACTGCGATGTTATCTCTCTGCTTTATTTTCTCCCATGATGTTTTGTACCGCGACGTTTTCGCCTTGCGTTGTTTTCTCCGCGACGCTTTCTTCCGCGATGTTTTTGTCGCGATGTTTTCGGCTGTAAACGAATACAAGGTACATACTTTGTAGAGTAATTAGATTTTTTGAAGCTGAAAAAGTGCAAAATGAACATTGCCATCACCTGAACTTGAGCCCTGGACCTCTCGAATACGTGTCGCGTATGCTTGCAGTTATCCTGCGAAGTCATGCGGAAAAGAGCGAGAACCTTATAACTTTGTAAATTAATTATGTCATCTATAAAAGGACAGTTAAATTTTATCATAAATAATTTGAAAATATTCCTGAGTTGATATTAATGAAATTTGATAGTCGCAACAATAATATTATCAATTAAGCTATAAATAAATTATTTGATTTTTCAAAGCTGCAAACATAAAAATCAGCTGCTCCTTCATTGGGATACAAATTACGGGTCTTCTAATTGCTCATTGGGTGTACTAACCACTTACACCACTATAGTACGCAAGAACCTATGTGATAATTCCGTGTAACTACATTAAAAATTCACCTAGTTTGCCTGTAAATGTATGTTAATTTTTAATAGAAATGAGATTATTTCTACGTATTTTAGGAATAGGAACCGACTGAATGGCAATTCCAAAAGTTCAATTTAAATGAATACCTTATTAACACGACGTATAAATATATGATTCCAGAACTATAAGTACGAAGTAAAAGTTACATAAAACCAATACAGTTACTCAGAGCCTTTGTAGGATTTTTATTATTTTAATTAACCAGACCTTTTACTGTTACTGGTTCCACTCCAGAATGCCAATTATCTCGTGTGATTTGGCATCAATGAAAATTAATTAACCTTTATGAAAATTACATTTCCTAACTTTTTTTGTTTCTCAGAATTTATCATAACTATCCGTTTATTTATATAGTACTTTTTACGGCAAAGAATCATCTATATTTTAAAGTGGACTTGATTTAACTCAAGTTTGGATTTAGTGATTTGATTAACAATATATATTTTGAAAATATTTTTCTGTATAAGAAAATATTATTCTGTTCTCAATAATCTCTATCGTTTTATTTTAGGTTACGGAATCGTATTTGATTCTGGAGTTCAGCTGAAAAATCTTTCAAAGTATCATTCATTTGTAATCTATGTTATAATATTTTTAATCTTTCATTTTTTAGAATAAAGTTTCTTAGACAAAATGTGCTGTTTCGTTTTTAACATCTTCCTATTTTCTTAAAATCGAAACGTATGTAGTTATCTGGAGTGACACACTTGCGAACACACAGGGGCTGAATTTTACAAGTTCATATATTTAAAACAAAATTAGATAGTACAAAGAAATGAAATACAGGCAGTTAAGAGAAAAATATGAATCACCAAGTGAGTTTTTCTTATTTTTAAGAAAACTTTTTATTATATATTAAACAGCCATATTAAACCCAAAAAATTATTTTGCGTGGAACGGCGAGTTGCGATTTCCCAAAGTACGCATTCACAATTTGGGATGTAGAGGGAATGAATTAGAAATTCACCCTCTGACCGCCCCGGGTATCGCTAAGAAAGCACAAATTTCCAAAGACTACCACGAGAAAAACTTATTTTCTTGATTTTAATGTCAAAATGTCCCTGGTACTTTATACCTGGATTTAATGTACGTTTGAGATATTGCCTTAATTTCTTGAACATATTTGAAGATGCACGTATATATACGTTATTGCAGGTATCACAAAAAATATTCTAGGCCGTATATATACGGACTTGCTAGTCAGAGGGCATTAAGGCTCAGTACCACAGATAGCAAAAAACATCCGCTTAGAAGCTCTGCCTGCAATGCAGTCTAGTTATAATTTTCTCCAAATCGAATTCAAAGTCTTGTAAGTCATCCACTTTCTGAAAAGCTTTGTTAATGGGACTTAAACAATAGGAAATATCAAAATGATGATTCTAGAAGTCTTTGAGTGTTAATTATGTCCATATATTAAATCAAAAATCCTTAAAATCATAGATTGCCAATTTGAGTGTTCATAACTCGAGCCACCATTTGTCATCCGAGGATTGTTTTATTCACAGAGTTTATTTGTGAATGGAAATATTCATGAGTTCATGTGTTCATGATCTATAGTTCCATGGCAATTTAAATTGATTTTTTGAGCTTGTAACTGAAGTTGTTAATTTTAGACGTAATTTAAAAAAATGTAACATAACCTTAAAACATATACTAGAAAATTCAAGTGATAGTGATGCTTAATACCAACCCAATCCAGAAATAAAAAAACTACTACAATAAAAAAATATAAACACACAGGCTTTGGGAACTAAACATTTTATTCTTCATAAAAAGCGTAAGAAAATAACAAGTTTTTGATAAAAAAGGTAGAATTATGGGCTTCATTTGCTATATTTTTGAATATGGGTCCCATATTAATAAAAAAAATAATGCGTATATATTTAAAATCCTTTAACAATTCAATCGAGACTTTAATGAGAAACACTTTCCTAAGAAAAAAGAGGATGACAATGTGCTCTTTCAAAACTGCAAAGTAAGAAGGACTTTGTTTATTAATAGCATCACTTAAAATCAGGCTAAAATTCTTTTGCGATGAATTTATTCATGTAAGCTCTGATAAAGAAACATTACGAAAACAGAAATAAGGCACATGGTCCATGTTTTATTAAAAGAAGTGGCAGTGGAACTTGCCTCTTCAACTTCTTCTTCTAATGCTTCCTTGATGTCTTCTGTTTCCTCATCAGGCTCTGGCTCTTTATTAGGTTTAGGCGCTTGTTTAGCAGGTAAACTAGCAACAGAATCTTGTTTCACAGCTTCTGGTTTGCGATAAGTTTCAATATTAACTTTCTGTTTTGGTTTGTGGTTAGTTTCGATATTAACATTCTCCTCTGGTTTGGGATTAGTTTCAATTTGAAATTTCCCTTCTGCTTGATGATTAGTTTCAATTTTAAGTTTCCTTTCTGGTTTGTGATAAGTTTCAATTTTTGAAGGACGATAATTTATATTTTCTCCTTCGGATTTTTGGTTATCAAAATCCATTTTGTTGTTCCTGAAATTGTCATACTCTGATTTTAATTCGCCTGCTTTATCATTCATTGAATGATCTTCTGGGGGAGGAATGAGCCTACTTTTACCTACAAAAAAGGAAAGGAAAATAGATTATATATAATGAAAATGATTTTAAAAGTGCTATTAGAAAATATGAAAGAAATTATAATATACTTGTATATTATTTTAATTAACCAGTTATTATAATTTTTATTTTTACTATAATTTCTACTTTCCGTATTATTAGAATGCAAATTATCTTTGAATATACTTAAGCGGAGATTTTTGAATCTTTAGTTGATAAAGCTTTGGACAGTCGCATTTGCTGTTAATATATTTCCGTCTACACCGCGTAAAACTGATATGCCAGCTTTAACAGTCTCGCCGATGCTTTAAATACGTGCCGGTAAAATAACTAGCCAGCTTATTCTAATTAAATGTGTAACCTTAAACTACCATACTAATGTATGAATTTATTTGTCTGTTCTTTCTTAATTTAAATCTCCACAAGCGCTGGTTTGTTTGTAGCACAAGTTTTTATGGTCAATTTTGTCTAAAATAAAAAAAGTTATTTTGTAGAGACATTAGGTATTTTTTGGAAGCAGAAGAGATGAAAAATGAGCAACGCTTTAGCCGGGAATCGAACCACGGACCTCCAGAATACGCGCCCAGACCACCAAGAACGCTAAGACGGCGGGAGAAATACCTTGTGTGTGTGAGTATTTAAGACACAGAGATAACTCGCTGTCCCTCTGGTGGGATCTGCAGATCTTCAGCTTTAGTTTCCAGTTAAATTAGCAAACTTAGATACTTATATTAGTGTATGTTACAGAAACGTTCTGTAGAATGACGGACAATCAGTAATTGAGCAGTTGAGCAATCAGCATTCGTGTCAGTGGATATCTACTGTATAAATAAAGGTGTAAAGTTACGAAAGATGTATTAGATGGTTAAACCATCACACGCATATTATTGATACGAAGGGACAGAACATAACTGATAAACGTTAGCATAGTTCACCAGAATGATATCTAAAAATTTCCTCTTCGTCTCCAACACCATTGCTCCATAAGTTACAGATCTCTATCTCTGTCAAGATCTTATTGTGCGGCTTTAATCTGGCTTATTTTCACAGTGGATCATTTTAAACATATAAGTTACTCGAATAATCCAAGATTTCAGTCAGAACCACGTCATATTTCAGTTAGCAAAAGAGTGCGCCGCAGTAAGGCGGTTGCAATGTACGTTGGTGGTGAACCTGAAGAAGATGTGCACTTAGCATTTTAACTAGATCTTATGTAGAATAACAACGCAGTGTGCATTCAAAAGGCTTAATAACTGGGAAGCGTGCCATCAACAGTGCAACTATTAACATGACCACAGGTATTGCTGAAGATATCAATTCTGAGTATGCAGCTATATTGACTAGTTTATCAACTTTTCATATAAATGTTTTACACCGAGAGATATACTGTTTTATTTGGGAAGGACTCTTTCGAGATTACAAATAACTCAGTCATAACTGGATGAACATTCACATGATTTTGGAAACCTAAACTGGCTTCTTGGTCAATCAAACATACCGCTTATTTTTTGGTATAAGTAAGAACGTGCTGCAAAAATTCAGCCAAAACTGAAAACCTGTACTTCAGCTAAATATAAAAACTCTATATGTATGCATATAGAATTACGAGTAACTGATTTTCTAAGTTTCTCGACATTCTGGTCACACGTAACACATCCAACTTCAGTACTACGGTTTACCGTAAACCTTCATCGGTTTGCCTTCCACCGCACTTTAAATCATGTCATCCGACTAAACAAAAGTTAGCTTCATTTTATTCCTATGTTTTCCGTGCTCTTCAAGTTTGCTTCTCCAAACTAGCCCTTGATGAAGAAACTAAATATTTTAAAAGCAATAGCTATTGACAGGGGCTTTCCACCCAACATTATTAATCAAGCAGTTAAAAAATTCTCATCTCAACACACTAAAAAGGCACACTCTTGTTTTAGGAGATTATAAAAAATTCTGTTGTCATTCCTTCTTTCCATCAATTAGCTATAAAGTTGCACATATTTTGCAGAAATTTAACTTTCGGGTTGGTTTATTCTCCCATCAATAAAATTCCGAGTTCCATACTCAAGGACCCCATTCCGGATATGAATTCCTGGGGTATTTATAGGATTCCTTGCTAGTGTGGTTTAATTTACATTGGCCAAACTAAGAGAGCCTTAAAATTTCGCGTCAAGGAACACGAGGCATATGTTAGAAAAAAGGAAACACAGAAGTCTTCTGTTGCTCAACATTGTTGGTCCGAAAACCACACTTTCAGTTTTTCTGCTGCCAGAATTATTCAGAAAGCATCTTCCATTGGAGAAATGGATTTTCTAGAGGCATTTCACCATTCATAAAAAATCTTTCTGTTCTAGTTAACGACCTAATTCCAATCCAAATTTGCCTTCGGCCTTTAAAGAAATTATGTTTAGTTCTGGTTTCACCAAACAGATGGCGCCACTTGCTATTCTTGTCCAGGCTTTCTTATCTATCTAATCATTATTTCCTATCTGGTCATTTGCGGTTTTGCAGCTGAAGATGGTGGTTCGGTAAAACCATCGAAACTAGTCCTGTGAAAATTTTGTAAATATAACGCTGATTTTTGTTGTTTGACTTCTGAATTAGTTAGACCTATCAGACGAGTTGAAGGGAACTGCTAGTTCACATTCAGCTTCCATTCGAAAAATAAGGATTCAGTAATGAATGGGCACTTTAGGCTCCAATAATTTCCCCTTCTCAAACTTTATAACATCTGGCCTTGAATATGATTCGCCGTTTTGGTGAATTTTACTTTTATTCTCAGCTGCGGTAACCACTTTAGTAAGTAATCGCAAGATTTTATTTTTTTCATCTTCAATTGCACATTTAGTTTTATAAGTAAAACGCAGGGGAGGGGAAAATGCATCATTCTACTACTTTTAAACTAAAATTCTTCCTTCCTGTCGGAAAATTCTATGGGCGGGACAAAAGACGTTCTCATCTATGAACCGAATGAAAACGATGTTAACAGTTAAAATAGAGAATTCAAGATTCACCCAGATTTCCCTCTAGCTCAGAAAGGCTTCCAAGAATTAGTAGAAAATTCCGTC